CCTGAACCTGATCCTGAACCTGATCCTGAACCTGATGGCCCCTGGCTGGAGAATCAGCACCAACTACTGTTTATCTCCATGAACCTAATGTTCACACGTAAAGATCTTTTTCAGATGAAGGTGGCATTAGAATGTGTCTCACCTGTGGAGCAGCTGTCCTGTAGTCTGACGACGTCTCACTGTCCACGCTGCTGGTTCTGTCTGTCCCTCTGGAGTTCTGTCTGTCCTTTATGGAGACGCTCCACGGATGGCGAGACATTTGACTTCCTGTCTTACTGTGGAGAGAGCAGACAGACTGTGATGTCACAACTGACAGATGATAATGACGTCACAAATCATTAAATGAGGACAAGGAACTGCTTCATGTGAAAAACACACAACAGTTGAGACACATCTGTAACTGTGTGTGTACCTTGGTGACATGTGTGTCTGGGACTCAGTTTTACAGAGCTTTGCAGCCGGCCCTGCATCTGTTACCATGGCAACATCATCCTCACCTTCCTGTGGAGAGAAGAACATGCAGCAGAAAACCTGTGTGTCTGTACTCATTGTGTGTCTTCTAGTCTGGACTCACCCCGGGGCCGGCCTCTTCTCCTCCAGACCCCTGAACAAGAAGCAGTAGCTCTGTCACCTGAGGAACAACAGAGAGCGGTGAACAATGTGACCGGCTGGGTGCAGCACAAACATCTGGTGACCGCGCGCTGTGTTGTTTCACAGCGTCGGATGTACTCACGGCTGCAGGCGCTTCTCTCTGGTGACTCCTCTGACTCATCATCTCTGTGTGAGAGGGCGACTGAGAAATGCCCTCGAAGAACGGCCTGAAAAACAGAGTCTGCAAGTTCTCACAAACATGAACAGAACATCAGACACATCAGGGACTGAACGTCTCTGATGACCCGTTCACACCTTCAGAAGCTCCAGTTTAGTCTGAACCTAAATATCAGGTGTGAAAAGCTCCTCAGACCACAGTCCAGACCAGAAGAGGTTGTCTGGGTCCGGATCAAACTAAACCATGGTTCAGTTCGTTAAATGGACGGATGGACAGACAGATGGACGAGTGGCTGACCTCAGTTTTGGTTTTGGTGTGCTCTGGATGCTGTCGTTGTCATCCAGCTCGGGGCCGCTGTCACTCGGGTTGTAAAGCTCCAGACTGTCGTACAGGAGGTCCAGATCCTCCTCGACCTCCTGACTCTGACCCACCGGGTCCAGAACCTGCAGAACCCGAGTATCACCACGGTTCATATGATGGTTCATACAGAAGCAGGACTTTATATGAATATGAATATTTATCAGCAGCCTCAGGTTGTTTCAGAACAAACCTCATCAGTCACTTTGAATCTTTTCAACAGAGCCACAAACTTCTGCTTGAAGTTCGGTTGCTGAACGACAGAAAAAAGAGAAAATAAAGAGAAGAGAAAGTTTCTTTGTCTGATCAACCTTTTATACGGTCTGAGCCAATCAGGTGACAGATGTGCTCTGATTGGTCCTCACATTCGTCAGGGAGGTTGTTCGGATCATTTTCCCACAAGACTTCTTCATCTTTTCCTGAACATCGTCATCGTCGTCATACATGTCCTGAGAAACAAACAGAGGAAACGTCGTGAACGTGACTGACGGAAACCTAGCTCCGCCTCTTTCTGAGGCTGCATGTGAAGTCTGATGGCGTCTAAGGGGCGTGACTAAGTCCTCATTTCAAAGGCTCCTTCAAGACGTTCGTCTGATCCCGGGCAACAAGGATCTAGTGGGCGGATCCTTCTCAAGAAAACACTAAAGTCAATGTTCCACTGTCTCCAAGAAACATTTCAAATTAAAGTCTCAACTTGATCAAATAACTAATGGTACAAATATTCAAGTTTTTGGATCAAATGTTTCTTTGTTAAGTCACGAGCATGCGTGATCTTAGCTAGCTAGCTATGCAAGCGGCCAGTAGGCACAACTTCAGGGACGACCCCTGAACTGAGACACCACTAATGTCTGAACCTTCACGTTAGAATACAAAAGAAATTCACCACATTAAGGTTTTGTCACATACAAAATCTACACATATATTTATTTAAATATATTAGCATCATGCTAAAATGCTCAATGAGAATCTACCCAAGCTTTCAGCCAAATGTCAACATTAGCATATAGCTCAAATTACAGCTAAATCTATAACACAGGTGTGTTGTGTCCACAGGTAACACGTGAGACAAGTTCAACTCCAGAAGAAACTGACTCAGCAAGTTTAAGACTCAAACACCTGAAAATAAAGAAGTGAAAACAACAAGTCAACAGATGAAAAGATCGAACACGGTGAGTAGCTGAAGATGACGAGCTGTCAATCACCTGAGGCGGGACCGCGTCATCACTTCCTTCCTGTTCGGAGGAGAAGCTGTCGTCATCGTCCTCCCAGTAGTTCTCCATGTCAGGAGAGCGATCTGTTCACACACAGAGCCACAAACTGTAACACAACCGGTTCACCTCAGTGAGGGGGCTCAGAGCACCACCTCCTCCTGCTCCTCCTCCACCTCCTCCTGCTCCTCCTCCTCCACCTCCTCC